ATAATACCTGAGGGTCCATTAAACTTTAAGGATGTTGTTCCATTTGGTAGGAACGTAATCTGCGCTTGTAATTTGGATAGCATATCACGTCCCAGCAATTGGACTGGACACTCAGGCATATAAAGGAATTGATGTTTTACTACGTGGCCTCCCAATGTACAGAGTCGACTTTTAAGAACCGGTTTTTCAGCACTTCTTCCAGTTGCTCCTATTACAGTAATAGTTCTTCCAGATGGAGGAGCAACTTGATTAGTCACCACCGAATGTTCAGCACCAGTGTCGATCATAAACGCACTCCTTTTTCCCCCTATTGATACATCGACCATAGGCTCCGCTCGACCAAGGGGGATGGAGCCCGGTCGGTATCAATAGTCCTCCATGACCGTGTCAGCCAATCCCACAAAGTCCCTACCTTCTCTATCGCGGGACCTTTGCGCTGCTGGATAGTACCTATCTTCCCTTACACTTCCTCTGTTCCCATTACTCCCTCTATTACCATTACTCCCTCCGGGGCCTCCTCTACCTCTCGCTCTGCCTCTAAAGTTTCCATAACCTGCCCTGGGTAAGTCTCTCTCATACTGCTCTCTTTGCGGACACTCATTCCTCCAATGCCCTTCTTCCTTGCAGTACGCGCACTGATTCCTACTCAAAGGCTCCCTATTCCATCTACCATCGCCTCTATCTGGGCCCCGTCTATCTACGCCTGCGATCGCTACCGCTAACATATCTGCCTTTCTACGCATCTTGCGCTCTTCCTCTTTCTTACTTTCTGTTTCCCTATTCATATATACTTTGTTCGCTACCTCCATTAGTTGGGTGATAGACATACCTGCAAACCCTTCTAATTTCTGTAGCTTGCGCTTAATATCTCCGTAAGCTTGGCTGACAAAGGCGGAGTTTACCATTCGGGAATTATCAGCGTCTTCCGGATTAAAGGGGGTATACAAGCGGTATGCCTCCAATAATCGGTCATAAAAGACACTGGGCGCTTCATCACTTTTCTGAATCACCTCAACTGTCTTCGACATGTTAATAGCTTTCTTCCCTCCGGCTTTCATGCCAGCAATTATAGCGTCTCTATAGGCTTTAAGTTGAGCCATATCTGCGCCATTTACATTCCAGTCAGGATCGGTGTTAGGGTAATGTGTTGCGGCCCATGCTGCCGGATTGGCTTGATTTAAAGCACGGGCTCTCTCCTCTAGCGCCTTAATGGCCGCTTGGTTAATCCTTGTCCTTTCCTCATTATTGAACAATGTCATTAATAACTGCTGGCAATCAGCCCATGTCGGGTTATGTGTCTGAACTATCGAGGTGAACAGATCGGTCATAGCTTGTGGTTTCTCAGTGTACGAGGAATTGTGGGTCTTCCAATTCAAGAGATCGGTAGTCGTGAACGGGACATATACGAAGACTGGGTCAGCATGTGCCATTTGACCTGCGGCATCGATATAGGCTGACCCAGGATTCAGACGAAGAGGCATCTGATAATGTTTTAATTGTTGGGTACCGGTCAGTTGTCGGGTTAGTATGGGGCTACGTGGAGGGGCGTCAGTTAAAGGTTCCGGTCGAGAGGTAATAGGGCATGAGGATGTGGGAACTTGATTTTGTGAAAAATTAGTGAATAGTATACTCTGAGCCGAGCTAGAAGAAGCTTGACCGGAAGTTTGAAGTGGCGCCAAATCAGGATATTCAGATCTAATGGGGGTTGGTCCTGGTTCAGGAAGGGGAGTTTTAATACGAGGGGGGGTGGATTCTGTACTGGAGGAGGAAGCGGAAGTGGATGGGGGCAATAGGGGAAGGGGTGCAGAACTTCCTGCATTCGCGTCACTTCCTCTTAAAGGGAAGTAAGGGGGCGGCAAAGGGATCTCGGACTCAGGGGGCGTGTCCAAAATGGGCCTAACACCGGTCCTAGTGGACAAATAAGTCCTGGCCACCATGAGGCGACATTGCTCCTCGTGGCATATCCGGATCCATTTTGGCGAGTCGTTTACGGCCTGCCTCCAACAATCAATGTATGGAAACTGTCCGTAAAGTTCAGGCCTACCTGACACAGCCACGTGTACACGCTGTACCAGGGTTGGATCCAAACTGCCACGCGGCGGCCATGCCGCAACCAAAGTAGGCCACTCCCTAGTGCACAAAGTGACCAAACGAACAGGAGACATTTTAACCCCAAAATCACATATTTTGAATCCCTTTTTAAAATTCTTTACCATACAACCTAAGGGATCCGAAATCGTTGACTCTGACGCGCCCATACTTATCAATGGAACGTCGTTGACAACGAATACTATGCACGCGTTCTTATTCAACAGTCACACCCGTTTCCTCTGGCAACAGCACCACGTGGTACAGTTACCAAGTGAAACGTACACAATAACACAATAATCACTCAGGGAATTCCCGTACACACACAGCTGTTACACCAGTCACTAAATAATCAATATTATGCCCTTTGGCGAAACTATACAGTCACCCACGCTATAATTCTCTATATATGAATTACCCGTCTATAACACACCCCAGTAACATCGTCTTTTACTAGTATCGGTTACAGTACGGTTAGCATAGGTCAAAGCACAATTTAAGGTCACAATACAATTACTAGTGGTTATGGTGTTAAACATGCAATAGACGACAATGATTAGTACTTATATACAGTGTCAGTAAATATACAGGGTTATGGTACCGTGCACTATGATACAGCAACACACTATTAACACTCTCGCTAGACGGCTGAGCTCGCGCTATCTAACAAGATATACACTTTACTAACAATCTTTAACACATTTACAATCCCAACTAAACTATTGGCCAGTACCTTGAATGGACTACCTAAAACTATATACACCCGTTTTGGTTAGCCACACTGCCCAAGCACCACATATAGCGAACTAGAGGGCAGAATTTACAAAATTGCCCTTCTAGTCTATTTACTCTATCAAAAGTCTAGTGGGTTCCAAATTTACACGCCTTCCCACTTAGCCAAGATAGGTTGAGAGCTAGCGAACCGAATTTACACAGGCGCCGCTTAGTCTCCCGGTCCCTCCGACCTAGCGAACGTAATATACACCCTAGAACGCTAGTCTAGACAAGACACCGGTGTCCGGCTAGGGCTATTTACACAGGACCCCGCCTGACTAACCAGATCAAACGGTCTTACTAAAGAGCGTTCGATCGAGCGGTGCGCCTTCGCTCCTTCCCTCCGACAGAGGGGGCAGATTCCATACACAGATTTAAACCCCTTTTGGGCCTACCGCACAATCGGTATACCCCTAGTGGGTCTGCCGTCTAAAACAGCAGTTGTCTTACCTCCTCGTTCCTGAACCTGAGTTCACACTCATCGACGGGGACACCCCAGCACTTCTTACGTAGAGGCCGATGATCTCCTGGACAACAGACCAGTGGCGCCGAGACGAAGGGAGGTCCACGCAGAAGTTCAGGGGTGCAGCCGTAGAGAACGTGGGCAAAGATAGACCGTCTCACGCCTCTGCCTCTCAGCTACCGTTGAACGATGAGCTTCCCGGCCAATGCACCAAATGATACCGGAGAAACTGACGGAAGCAAAGCACAGAGGGATGGACACAGGTTTCTTCAGGAAGGAAGAGATTCTTTATTGGATCACCGATCGGGACTCAGAGGGACTAATGTCACCAAAAATACAGCAAGTTCTGAGCCCTGAACAATAGTGCAGGCTCCCTATATAGGCACATAACTCCTCCCATATTAAGCTCCACCCGCACATTCTCTTGACCAATCATTACAAATAAGAATTAACTTCCTGCTTGACCACATGGCTTGTCCAGCACAATGGAGGAGGGGAATACTACATCCTGTATTCTTGCACATGCTCCGTACACTACTGATCGTATCTTGCCTCGTGCAACCAACTGATCGATACGTCAGCATATGCACGTACACATGCCATGTGGTAATCTCGGCCTACTAAATTTATTTTTACCGAGATTCCACCACAATAAGTGTAATAACCCAGAATAGCCCGGGGAAGCTCTGGCTACAAATAATGAGATCCATAACTTCTGGGGGGTTACAACCTCTGTTTACTAATGTCAGGTGTTCCTGTGCGTAAGACCCCCACCCCAATTTTGGGCACAGGTTTCCTTTTGTGGAGCATTGCAGGAGCTGATGCTTGCATTTGTGTCTTTGTGTTGCCATCTAGTGGTAAGAAGTTAATACTACATAGGCAGTAGACATTCATTTGGCATAGAATAGGCTTCACATTTGGTGTTGCACATCACATTTGGAAGGTATTTTAAGTTCACTCTCAAACAGAAAAAGTGGTTATTGAAGCGGTAAATCTGCTTTGCTGCATAAAACAAAATCAAGTGCACGTCGGAAGCCTTAACTGGGGCATAGCTATACTAACTTGATTAAATTTCATGCTCAGTTTTCCAATAAATAAGGTCCTACTGGGCATTATATGTTAGGTTTCCTTGTACCTCCCACCCCCCAACTAAAAAATAAATTTAAAATAAGGTTAAAGGGACACTACAGTCACCAAAACAACTTCAGCGTAATAAAGCAGTTTTGGTGTATAGAACATGTCCCTGAAGTCTCACTGCTCAATTCACTGCCTTTAGGAGTTAAATCACTTTGTTTATGCGGCACACCTACCTGCATGTGACTTACACAGCCTCCCTAAACACTTCCTGTGAAGTCATCTAATGTTTATACGTCCTTTATTTTAAATTCTCTTTAATTTGCTCTATTAATAGCTTGCTAGACCCTGCAGGAGCCTTCTGTATGTGATTAATGTTGAATACAGTTAACATCTGATTGAAATTGAAACCATTTTTCCATGCAGGCTGTGACAGTCACAGCCAGGGGAGGTGTGGCTAGGGCTGTATGAACAGAAACAAAAGTGATTTAACACCTAAATGGCAGATAATTGAACCGTGAGAATACAGGGGCATGATCTATACACCAAAACTGCTTCATTGAGATAAAGTTGAGGGGGCGGCACCTGACTTCCGGTGCGGATGGAAGCACTTGGCTCCGCAACATCGAGTGAAAAAACAGCGTACAACAGTACAATTTGCCAACTCAACTTATCGCAACCTGCCCCACCTGACTCCCCGAACACACCCCAACGCAAAACATGGGGAAAAAAATCGAGACACAGCTTGGCGGTAGCTCAGATATTCCGCAGCCATGCGCACAGAGGCACACGTCATGCAGATGAGCCGCCAGAGTCCGACTCTGACTCTGTCACGAGCGAGGCGGGAAGAAGCAGCCAGGACAAAGCCCCAGTCAACAGGGGGGACCTGAAGGAGCTCCTACACAACATCAAACGTAATATGGCAGCTGAACTGACTAAACACCTGGCCCCCATCAGGGAAGGACTTGAGGATCTCACTAGCCGCACCTTAGCAGTGGAGGACAAGATGGAGGAAATCTCCACAACTACCTCTAACCATGACAGGGCCTTGCAAGAGCTCCGAGAGCAGGTATAAGCCTTAGAAGACACACAGGAAGACCTGAATAATAGATCACGCAGAAACAACATAAGAATTAGGGGGCTGCCAGAAACCATCACTGCAGACATGCTCTACTCAATGCTGCAGGAAACCTTCTGCGGCCCTTTACCTGAAGCCCCACCAGCAGAGCTCATCCTCTTTGAGCCCCTTCAACAAACGCAAACCAACCATGTGAGGTTATAGTCCGAATGCATTACTTCCATGGGGAGGAAGCGCTGATGAGGGCTGCCAGAGAAACCCCTCTGCAAATAGGACATCAGGTCCAATTCATTCAGGACCTGGACCCCAGCACTCTACATAAACGAAGGGAACTCGGACCTTTAACCCAGGCCCTCACCAAACAGAGGCTTCAGTACTCGTGGGGCCATTCCTTCAAGTTAATGGTCCGCAAAGAGGACCATACATATGTCCTACATGATATCTCCGAGGTCCAGGAATTTACGACCCAGCTGGACCTGCCACACATCCACATGGAACCCCATCCTCACCCACATGGCTCCCACGAGGCTAGAAACAATTTTCCTGCCCTGCTGCGACGGCGGAGACCATCCAGACACGAGTCACACTGCCCATAAGGAACCAAACAGAGACTTTCCACCACAGGCTACTCTCCTCCACAAGCTGACTATAGTGGTCTCTCCTTACCACCAACCCTTAATAGGGCCCTTCTACCTGAGCCTGGCGATTGATTGATGGACTAACCCCAACACCAATGACCACGAGACAGAGATAAGATCAAGAATGTGTTTATCGCTGTTTATTTTATGTCCACCCCCACCCCAATTCTCTTTCCTCCTTATTAGCTTAGTTACATGTATGTACTATGGCACTTATGAGTCCATTTAAGTTTCGGCCTCCCCCCACGACCACAGATCGAGGCAAGGGACAGGGCAGGGGCACACCCCCTCTCAATACACCACTTAAGCTGGCGACACACGTAGGAAGCACCTTACGACTACGTGGGGCAGCACAAACCCCTCACTCACACACAAGTACGGGTACAAGGGCACCCCCCCCCCCATCCATTGCTGTTCTCCTCTAAGATTTTCATACCTTATACTGTTAATTCTCAGCCCATGTATTTATTACTAATCCTGGGGGATGGACACCATATATCTAATCCATGGTTAGTCCCGAAAAACTGCTATCTTACAGCACCTTGGATATATTGTATGGTGAGGGCTCTTACCCATTCTGTTTTTTTTTGCTCAGTTAAATGTTATATTGTTCTGCTTTTCCCTTCTAATTCGCCTAAGACTATGGGGGTGGCCATCATCTTTAAGTCCTCGTGTCCGCTGACTGGCATCACCTCAACCGCCGACCCACAAAGCCGGTATGTGACTATAACAGGCAAGATAGGCTCCAACAGCTATTCCTTTTGCTCACTGTACGCACCTACCTCTCTGTACCCAGCCTTCTGGCAACAGCTTTCCATCCACCTTACGACACTGCCCAAGACCCGCCTAGTCTTTGGGGGGAACTGCAACGCAGTCCACTCCACAACACTGAACAGGACGATTCACACGCAGGGCCCGACCCTCACGATGTGACACATTGTTTTAACAATTATACTCTCTGAACCTTCTAGACATCTGGAGGGCACAACACCCATCCTCCAAAGATTTAACATTTTATTCGCACCCTCACAAGATGTATTCTCAAATCGACCACTTCCTCGTGGCCCCCAACATCCTATCTCAGGTTACCTCCACCAGTATTTGCTCTATTACCTGGTCAGAGCACGCTGACCTTTCCTTCATATTACATATCCACAACCTGACCTGACTCTGGTCCTGGAAACTTAACACTTTGCTGTTGCACGACATTGAAATAACTGGGACACTTTCTAAAGACCTTGTAGACTACTTTGAGCTGAACGACCCCACGATGACATCCCCAATAACCCAATTGTCGGCCCATAAGATGTTGATTCGCAGGAAACTAATTAGCCTGGCGACAGATCCAACAGATTACTGATACCATAGTGGAAACCCAGCATTAACAGGACTCACAGCCCTCCCTTCTCACCCAATTAACGTCTTCTAAAGCGTCTAACTCTGGAAGACACGTCCAATTCAAGATTCAATATTTGGGTGGGATCACCCTTCTCTATACATGTTGCTTCCATGGCAATTACATCCCTTACCCCTTCCCCTGACAGCACCTACAATTACTCACTCCCTCAATTTGTGGGACAAACTACACATAAAATTCTATCCTTATACCTATCTCCAATGACCCCCATCAGATTATTCCTACCTTGGTTCGCAGATAAACACTTTGCCCAATTTGAGAGGAGAGAGATCACAATACTGTGCAACCTGTTCATCAATGACCAAATCATTGACTACACAGACATCCTTGCATCTCTCTCTATATTTGATTATTTCAGATACATGCAACTCCGTAGCTTCGCTGCTTCAACTAGCATCCAACAGGCATTTAAAGCCAACCTTACTAGCGTTGAAAGTGACTGCATGGCAGCCCCAACCAGAAAAGGCCAAATATCTGATCTCTACCTTACAATTGCAACACATTCAACACAAGCTACTCTACCATTCATTACAGCTTGGGAAGCAGACCTGGGCCCCCGTTGACGCAACGGACTGGTCGGAAATATGGGAGGCAATATACTCTCTTACAATCTGTGTAACCTGTAAGGCGCAAGCATATAAAATGCTTTTCCACTGGTACTTAACACCCCAAAGACTGGCCATCATGCACTGCATACCTACAAACTTATCCTGGAAACTATGCGGTGAAGTAGGGACATTCTACCATTGCTGGTGGACCTGCCCTAAATTAAAAACTACCTGGAAATCCATCATATCCCTCCTCACTAGAATTCTAACTAAACCTTGCCCATTGGACCCTTGGGCCCTACTATTATCCAAACCCCTGGAAACTTTCACAAGAACGGGAAACAAGTTGATCGCTTGAGTGGCTCTTGCCACACGCAGGGCAATTGAAGAGGTATGGTCAACCACAGGTATACACACACAGACTGCGATAGCCAAGAAAATACAAGATAGCATGGAGATGGATAAACTCACAGCACAAATAAACGAAAAACCCAAAACCTTCCACAAAGTATGGGACCCATGGCTGGAAGGTGACACGTCTCTACCACGGTAGTCAACCTCTCAGTACCCTATAAAGGCCCCATCAGAAACCAGATGCATTCAAGCAACTACCTTCTATCAACCTCAAAGCACCAACTCACTCCACCTGTCCCACCAACTCTCCTTCCCCCCCTTTTCTCTCTTCCCCCTCCCTTTTTCACCCCTCTCCCCCCCTTCCAATAACTCTCTAACCCTTGGGGGGTGGGGAAGATGCGGGGTCTGGCGGCCGGGCTTGCTTACACGCCCCTCCATTTTCTCCACCACGTCCCTCTCCTTCTCTCCATCCTCACTACAACCCCCTCTTTTTACTACCTGTAGTTACTCACTCTCATTGACCTCATTATTGGGCCATAGCCCTCGACCCAAAAGAGCCATGACATCCCCGACTCCCTTATGAAAGCACAGGGGAAAACCATTCGCTACAAGGAAGCATGCCGAATGTGAACAGACAGCCTGCCCCAACCCATGGAGAAAGGACAACCCCCTAGGAACATGACAGACCCCTGGGGAACCAATGGATGACTAAAAAGACAGGACCCCTACTCCCATGACATGGGCATTGGAAGGCCAAAACTCACACCTAACAGGCAAGGGAGTAACTTAACCTCCACAGGAGAAAGCAGAGGAGGTCCTCCTGAGCGCCAACTCCCCCAGACTGGCCTGGTAACCACTCTCCACCAAACGCCAGATCAGCCTATAGATTATGATAAACACGGAGGCGTCTGTTCCACCTACGGAGTAAACGATATCCCCTCCTTCCTTCGATTTGGCCTAAACTGTTCTGTATTGTTCAATACTTTTACCTCTGCAAATTACTGTAATCTTGTCTTGAACCACACATTACCTAATGTTACCTTTTCAAACATGAATAATGAAAATAAAGAATTAACAAAAAAAAAAAAGTAAAGTTGTTATGGTGTCTATAGTGTCACTTTAACACATAATGGAATATTCCTGGAATCCGTCACTTCGTTCAACACTTTTTTGTAACATTAGGGCAACCTTACTAGTGGTCCAAGAGGGGGGGAGAAAGAAAGATATCTTATACAAGCCTCCCCAAAAGGTACTGGTACAATAGCAGCAACCCTAGGTGATACATATAAAATGAAAATATAACTTTTAATAAATTGGTTAAAATAATAGCAAAGCGTCCCGCCGCGCGTTTCGCCGAATATCGGCTCTTCCAAGGGAACCGGGTTAGAGCTAGTCTGTTGTTTAATTATCCCGCCCTCTACTTTGATTGGTTTGTATTTTCATTAATCCGATGGGGGGAGGAGAAAAAAGAAAACGAAAAGAAAATTAACCCTTCGTGACCGGGTGCAAATAAGAAAAATAATAATTAAGGGGAAAAAAGGCATCTCTATTAGGATGTAGAATATATATCCCAATTATCCAAACGTTCTTTTATAAATTATACAAAGACTTTAGGCAAATACTGAGGTGATGGGTTATAATAACGTTAAATGTGTTGTGACAACATTGGTCTGGTGGTATAATTTTGAGAGGTTTATATCAAAAACATGTTACAAAGTTCAATAGCTGATTCTAATGTGACATTTGGCCAGGATAGTGCCGGCTCAGAAATGAAAAATAGCGTAACCTATCCATAAGGGGAGCCTCTCTATTTCTAATGGAAGTGGTTCATAGGTGGATGCAGAAAGCTCCCTATCGACCACAACTACTGTATGTAATTTGTCAGAAGAGACAGCACAGTCAAGAGGCAGATAACAAGTCCCGTTATCTGCCAAGATTCCTGTGTATCTTTTTACAGGGAAAACCGTTCCAATCGATAGTCTCCCTATCAACCATAAACACTGCATGTAATATAACAAAGGGGACAGCACAGTCATGATTTAAATGGTTTAAATGCAGTTTCCACATCCCTCCTTGCAGTCAGAGCATTAGCTTTAGATCCCTGTCTGAGCCTGAGCCCTAGGCCACCTGGTGGGTAATCCAGCTGTGATGGGATCTCCAGGTTTTTTCCCCCTTTGTGCAGATTTTGTTCAGATTTTCACTTCACACGAGATGATTGATCCCTGTGAGCTCCCCTGTAAAGGTCTTGTCTTCAGAACTGGAACATGGTTTAAAAGCCACAGCTACGTTTCCTGATCAGCAAATTTTTCCTGAAATTTGGAATCCCTTGTCAATTCACCAAATCTCTTCAATTTAGAAAATAATCTCTTCTATGGATGGAGTTACCGGCACAGGAAATAACTCCAACCATAACTATAGACTATAAAGCCAAACTTGTAGAACAATGCGGCATTCTAACACTACAATAACAACCCAAAGTATGAGCTGTTTGTGCAAAAATCTCACAAGTGACACTTCGGAATTAAAGGGTCAAAACACAAACCGTGTCATAGCTTTAATGTATTCCAGAGACATTAAAAAATAAATCTACATTAAACAGAAACTGTAACACATGACTGAAGTATAGTTTTATTGCAAAGCATTTTGTGCTAAATGACTGTGACCCATTCTACTCTAATACCCCACAATGTCACCCCACACCCTGCTAAGATTAACCTGTTCATTTAACACTTTGAGTTTCAGAGCATTTTAAGACGCTTGCTATTACACAGGTGATGTGGTATAGTTTGCAAACAGTTAATCCGGTTTATAACTTGTTCAGTGTCCTGGCACAGTGATCCACGATGCTGGTCTAAGCCACGGCACTCTCCAGCTGTATGTGTCTCGTTTTACATTAACTCAAAATGTCGTCATCGCCTGAAAGGAAGCAGAACATTCACAATAAATAATTACATAATAACAGCGTGATAAGAGCGATATCATTAGGGGCCCATGTTCTTAATTCTGTCCATCATTTGAGAACTTCAGGAGCCAACTGTAGGTGAAATGCAATCCTGTGACACATTGTATTCATAGGAATGTACACAAACAGGGATATTTATCAAAGTAAGAATTCAAATTTAAGGTCAAACTAGCCCATCTGGAAAAAGAGAAATCTCAGGTATGCTTCCATATCAGCTACTTTGGCCTTAAATTTGAAATTCTCACTCTAGTGAATAACCCTGCACGTTCTTGGCTGTTTGTAATGAATTCGCTGGTGTTTTGAGGAATGCAGATTTCTCAATCGCCAGCAGAAAATTAACGTAATGACTCCAGGGTTTATTCACTAAACATTGAAATGTTGTCGATGGAAATGCAAACAGGCTGAAATAGCCAACCCGGGACAGTAACAGAGTTAATCGTTTTTAGCCTGCATTTTGCAACTGAGATTTGGAAAAAATCCCCCATGTTACATTCACCTCGATGTGATGTTTAACCCCTTAAGGACACATGACATGTGTGACATGTCATGATTCCCTTTTATTCCAGAAGTTTGGTCCTTACGGGGTTAAACTTCTGTCAATAGACGTTATAATATCCCGGCTGAAAGCAGGGCTCTGGCTCTGAAGAAGGCTTTGCTGGCTGCTGAGAGTCTTGCTGTGTGGCTTGATCCCCCTTCCCCCACCCTGCTTGCTATTCACAGCACTGTACATGTTAAACCATGCAGAAAGCGATGATGTCACTAACATTCACTCTGCACAAGGCAGAGGGACTCGCTGCATTTAGCGGAGATATTTCTTCCTGCAGCAAAGATGAACGTTTTGGGGTTTATTGGGTTTGTGGGTTGTTGTTTTTCCTCTCACCCTCTAAGCTAGTTTGGGCAGAGCCTTCTTCACTTACTGTTCCCATACGTCCTATGTTTTGTTAGAATTAAATCTTTGTCTTGTTTACCTATTGTACAGCACTGTGGAATATGTTGGCGCTATGTGGATTGTTGTAATTGGACATTTAGTGAGCAGTAGGACAACTGACCTGCAAAATAGCCAAAAACTCTCAAACTTTATTTAGGTTTAAATAAATATAAAATCGAGCGTTACGGCCGCTGGAATACCAGACTCTGCGTGACTGGCTGTCAGCCCCTCGTTCACTTACCATTTCCTGTTACTCCACAGTACTCCTTGCATTCCTTTTCAGTATAAAACTTGTTCCCGTTGCCACGGCAGCCACCGTAGGTGAAAGTAATGCATTTACCCTGTGCGGCATCAAAGGCCCAAAGTGTCTGTGACTGCTTGCATGAGCCGGTGACTATCGGCAAACGGCAGGCGGCTAAATGGGAGAAAAATGGGGAGATCTGAGATAGTCCAGCAGTGTTTACAGACACGTGAATAGGAAGTAGCAAATAAATCTGGATATTCAGTTACAAAATCTGGGCATGTCGTGCTAAGCCCACCGCCATGTCACATGATCCCACCACCATATCACAGTATCCCACCAGCATGTCACAGGCTCCAATACCATATCACATGTTCCCACCACCATATCACAGGATCCCACTACCATATCACAGGATCCCACCACAATATCACAGGATCCCACCACCGTGTCACAGGATCCCACCACCGTGTTACAGGATCCAATACCATATCACATGTTCCCACCAACATGTCACAGGATCCCATCACTATGTCACAGGATCCAATACCATATCACATGTTCCCACCACCATGTCACAGGATCACAGGATCCCACTACCATATCACATGATCCCACCACAATATCACAGGATCCCACCACCATGTCACAGGATCCCATCACCATGTCACAGGATCCCACCACCGTGTTACAGGATCCAATACCATATCACATGTTCCCACCAACATGTGTCAGGATCCCATCACTATGTCACAGGATCCAATACCATATCACATGTTCCCACCACCATGTCACAGGATCCAATACCATATCACATGTTCCCACCACCATGTCACAGGATCACAGGATTCCACTACCATATCACATGATCCCATCACCATGTCACAGTATCTCACCACCATGTCACAGGATCCAATACCATATCACATGTTCCCACCACCATGTCACAGGATCCCACTACCGTGTCACAGGATCCCATCACCATGTCACAGTATCTCACCACCATGTCACAGGATCCAATACCATATCACATGTTCCCACCACCATGTCACAGGATCACACCACCGTGTCACAGGATCCCACCACCATGTTACAGGATCCCATCACCATGTCACAGTATCTCACCACCATGTCACATGTTCCCACCACCATCTCACAGGATCCCGCTACCATCTCACAGGATCCCACCACCGTGTCACAGGATCCTACCACCGTGTTACAGGATCCCACTACCATGTTACGGGATTCGACACCATGTCACAGGATCCCAATACCATATCACATGATCCCACCACCATATCACAGGATTACAGGATCCCACCACCGTGTCACAGGATCCCACTACCGTGTCACAGTATCCCACCACCGTGTCACAGGATCCCACCACCGTGTTACAGGATCCGACTACCGTGTCACAGTATCCCACCACCATATCAGTATTTTTTTATTTTTTTTCTTGGAAATCGCCATCAGATTTGCAGGCCCCCATTTAAACAACTGAAAAGCAGACCATACAGGACCTCACCCTTACCTACAGGGCATCTTTAGCGTGTCCTGTACCCATTGGAGTGAGGGGGGGAGGGGTGTAGGATATCTGCATTTGCCCTTTAAAAGCGGTTGTACACCCCTTGGGTGTTGAAAGGATTTAAATAATCTCGGAGACGGAGAGTGTTTGATGGCCAATTACAATAGTCTTATCCCACCACACCCCAGACATCGCAAACTCACCTTCCGTCCTGCATCGCTGAAGACATTCTTTCTCCGAGCCAAAGTTGTTGCTGTTGCCAAGGCAACCTCCATATGTAAACATTTCACAGGCCATAGAGGAAGAATTGTAGAAATAGTTCAAATGTGACCCTAGACAGGGTCCCCTCTCTACGGCCAGCCGGCAGGAGTCTGGAATGAGGTCAACGGGACAACAGTTATAAATGGTTAAATAGTTCTTCCACTTTTTATATTAAGGGGTTAACATCAAAGGAATTTTTAGGATTTTAGGCCAAAACCGTCACATTAAGAAAAAATAGAGGGAAGTTTTATATAAATAAACATTGGGAGTTATGTATAAATAGTGTTCAGAAAAGTGGTTTATACTAAAAGTGGGGCAATCACAACAGAAACCAGTGGAACCAGCGCGGACAACACATAATGATAATCCCCAATCTTTTTAAAGAATTGATTTAAAATGTAACATTCGATGTACACAGTGTACCCACCTCCATTGTTTTTTATTATGGGGGTATTGTCCCCAGAACCCTCCTCTTCTTGAGGCAAGATTCCTTGAGGCAGAATATCTCGTCTAGCTCTCTGTGGAAAAAAGTAACAAGATAAAATGGTGGGACCCATGTGCACCCAGAACGTGTGTTCATACATATACATAGAATCCATATCCTATAGAATGTAAGCTCGATTGAGCAGGGTCCTCTTCAACCTATTGTTCCTGTAAGTTTATTTGTAATTGTCCTATTTATAGTTAAATCCCCTCTCATAATATTGTAAAGCGCTATGGAATCTGTTGGCGCTATGTAAATGGCAATAATAATAATAATACATTTTGATTTGCTTCTCTAATAATTTTTGTTGCTGCATTTGGGGGCCGTTTTGGTAATTCATCCTAATGAAAGGACTGCTGAAGATTTTTTTCACCCTATCATCCTGTCTACCTGCCAAAACGTGTCCGAGCCCACTGGTCCATCTTATAGGTCAGGCTAAAAAAATTATAAGCATCTCTTCCCAGTGCCATTATGATTGATGGTTTCTCATGAATACTTACTCTGGGAGTCACCTCCAAATCCCCTGGGGTGCATTCGCCTGTGGAGTGAAAGAAATGGAGGCCACATCAGAAGAATGAATTCATGACTGATATTCAGGTTATGGTTTGGAGTGTTAATTACCAAATCTAACTGTTCCTGAAAAACATGACCTAATGCAGTCTGTGGCAAATGGATTATAGACACAGCATCAAACCAAGTCAGTGCACTACATAAGGCTTGGTTAGGTAGGTGGGAAGGTTAGTGTGAGGAGACGATCCTGTCATTGTCTGAAGGCCAGATACAGTAAGGAATGCTGATATTTAGGAAGGTGTAAGAGAAGACATGCTTGTATTTAGTAAGATATATTATATATAAGATCTGTGTGATTCTATAAGAGGAGACATGCCAATATTCAGGAGGACATTGACAGAGGCATGCCTATTTTGGAGGATATCCAAGGATATCATATAGGAAAAGAGAGTCCCACTCGTATTCGTATATAGGAGCATGGGCGTCTGCAGAAATTTTTCCGGGGGGCATGATTGTAATGACATCCATGCTCGGCCCCTTTTTGCAGGGCCGGACTGGGGAGACTGTATAATTACATTTTTTACACTGACAGAACCAATATTTTGAATTAGAAAAAGAAACATACCAATAAAAAATATATACACACACACTATATGGCAAAATGGCTTATGGGGCTGGCATAAATTTTTTGTTGGAAAAAAAAAATTTATGCCAGCCCCATAAGCCATTTTGCCGTATAGTGTGTATATATATTTTATTGGTATGTTTCTTTTTCTAATTCAAAATATTGGTTCTGTCAGTGTAAAAAATGTAATTATACAGTAAGCATACTCACATACAGACAGACAATCTCACTGACAAAAGCACACAAGCTCATTGATACACAGGTTCACATACAGACAATCTCACTGATACACATTATTATTATTTATATAGCGCCATCACATTCCGTAGCGCTGTACAATGGGTGGACTTACAGACATGTAATTGTAACCAGACAACTGGACGTACAGGAACAGAGAGGTGGAGGGCCCTGCTCCATGAGCTTACATTCTAGAGGGAGTGGGGTATAGTGACACAGAGGGTAAAAGTAGGGGTACGAAGTAGGTTGTTAGAAAAGTATTCACTGAGGGCTTAGTAGGTAATTTTTGACAGTTGCAGGACAGGAGTCATGGATGGTGGGGGATAAAAACCTGCTAACAGTTTAATTGATATGCTCTCTTGAAGAAGTGAGTTTTCAATGATTTTTTTGAATGAGTGGAGACTGGGTGAAAGTCTTACGGAAAAGGAAAGGGAGTACGGACAGAGGATATACGTAGGTCTTTGGCAGAGCGCAGGGGCCTTCACAGGGCATATTTGTGTATTAGGGAGGTTAGGTAGGTTGGAGCAGCATCATGTATGGAGGCGTGGGAGGTGCAAGCGGACAGGAAAATGTGTCTCGCCGCCGCATTCATTATAGATTGCAGCGGTGCAATCTGGTAACACATAAGACCACTGAGAAGGGGATTAAGGCGAGAGAGAACAAGAGCATGGATCAGCACCTTAGCCGAATTCGGGGTTAAATAGGGGCGAATGCGCGCTATGTTTTTTAGATGGAAGCGACAGGATTTAGCAATTAATTGGACATGAGGGGTGAAGGAGAGGTTGGAATCGAAAAGAACACCCAGGCAGCGAGCCTGCGAGGTAGAGGTGATGGTAGCGCCGTTGACTTGGAGGGAGACAGACACGGGAGTAGTAACACTTGAGGGAAGCTGAACTACAACTCCCATGATGTTGCTGAACTACAACTCCCATGATTCTATGAATGAAATAAATAGGCTGAGAATCATGGGAGTTGTAGTTCAGTAACATCTGGAGGGCCGGAGTTTGGGGAAGCCTGGTGTAGGGTTAGGACCAGGAGAGAGAGTCCTCGACCGTGGCTTTGCCTAAAACTGAACATAGCCGGGTTCTCTAAACAGTGAACTGGGCTATGTGAAACTGAACGTTCTCACTATCACTCCACTTCCTTCTATCTTCACCCCTCCATTAACCATTTATTCGCCTCTTGCTCCTCAAGCTCCTACTTTTATTTCTGCTCTATCTTACCTCTTTCTAGAGTGTCTCCTCTCTTTCTCTCTACCAGCTCCACTTACACCCTGCTGGGCTCCTGTGTTACAGGGTGGATGGGCAGCCGGTCAATGCATGCGGCGAGGGAGCTGCAATCTTCCTGTTCAGCTCCCTCGCACGCCTCTGAGTGATGCTGGGAGCCAGAATGACAGCATATTCCGGCTCCGGCAACACCTCTGGGCGCACCAGGGAGCTGAGCGGATGGCTCTCACTCGCCACCCGAATATTGGCAGCCGCGCGCCTCTTGGGGATCCTGAGGTGGCCAGCCGGCCAGCTTTTGGGTCCCCCATGAAAGAGGCTAACAAGGCTTGTGCCAGGGCATTTAAGGGGCCAGCGTTTTTTGTCGCCCCACTTAAAGTGCCGCCCAAGGCAAATGCCTTGTTAGCCTCGCTATTAATACAGTACTTTTTTTAAGCTCCTCCCCATGCCAGCGCGGTCTCTATCCCTCCAATGCGGACTACACTACCCATACTCCCCGCGGTCGTCATCTAAGATGGGCGCCGCCATTCAAAATAAGTACATAGTCACATGACCACTTCGATATATCGGGGTTTTTTTTTATCACATACAAGCTTAGTTTTTAAATATAAATATAACCAATATATTAATCCCATCTCTCTCAACATATAGATGGACTCTAAAGATGTTTTACTTATATTGCTATATTTTCTAATAATCATGAAATATGTGTCTCCAATATCCCATCCACTTTCCCTATTCCATAATATTCCTTTTTATTATCCAGCCCAGGGTAAGGTCTCTCCCTAAGGCTATTTGCCGGTTTAAAAATGATTAGTTTATTATTTTTGTCTACCCATGACTATGTTGTCTGTTTAAATAAAAAAATAAAAAAATTTGTTTGTTTATTGTCCACTTCTATATATACGTTTTTATCACATATAAGCTTCGTTTTTAAATATAAATACAACCAATATATTAATCCCATCTCTTTCAACAGATAGAATGTTAATTTTTAAAGGTATACAATAGATTATCGTTATGACTGTGAAGCCATTTTGGCGCCAATTTCAAATTGACAATCCATCATTCCCCTATTTAAACCCTCAAATCAAATCACCCTTACACACAGCACCCTCACACACACAGCACACACTAACAGCACCCTTACACACACATCACCCTTACACACACACACTAACAGCACCCTTACACACACAGCACCCTCACACACACACACAGCACACACTAACAGCACCCTTACACACACACAGCACCCTCACCCACACACATAATGCACACACTAACAGCACCCTTACACACACACACTAACAGCACCCTTACACACACAGCGCCTTCACACACACAGTGCCCGCACACACACACAGCGCCTTTACACACAGCACCCTCACACACAGCGCCTTTACACACAGCACCCTCACACACACAGCAGTGTGTGTGTGTGAATGTGTATACATGTGTGTGTGTGTGGATATATATATACATATATACACATCGTGTGTGTTTCTGCTTTAGGGTGCACACCCTTATACAATAGGCTGCGCACGCCTATGACTGGGAGTAATATTGCTGTGGAGCTCTGTTATACTCTCAGGCACATTACTGTGAATATTATTACTGTGGAGTTCTGTTAAACAGACACATTACTGGGAGCATTATTGCTGTGGAGCTCTGTTATACACTCAGACACATTACTGGGAGTATTATTGCTGTGGAGCTCTGTTATACACTCAGACACATTACTGGGAGTATTATTGCTGTGGAGCTCTGTTATATACTCAGGCACATTACTGGGAGTATTATTGCTGTGGAGCTCTGTTATACACTCAGACACATTACTGGGAGTATTATTACTGTGGAGCTCTGTTATACACGCTGACACATTACTGGGAGTATTATTGCTGTGGAGCTCTGTTATACACTCAGACACATTACTGGGAGTATTATTACTGTGGGGCTCTGTTATACATTCAGACACATTACTGGGAGTATTATTGCTGTGGGGCTCTGTTATACACTCTGACACATTACTGGGAGTATTATTGCCGTGGAGCCCTGTTATACACTCAGACACATTACTGGGAGTATTATTGCTGTGGAGCTCTGTTATACACTCAGACACATTACTAGGAGTATTATTGCTGTGGAGCTCTGTTATACACTCTGACACATTACTGGGAGTATTATTACTGTGGAGCTCTGTTATACACTCAGACACATCAACAATATGGAGCTCTTAGATAAAAAAGACATTAGGATAAAAAAGAGTGACAGAGGGATTTGGGCCAAAAATAGGGACTGTCCCTCCTAGATAGGGACACTTGGCAGGTATGTATAGGAGAATAGAAATGGAGGAATGCTCATATACTTGCCATTATTGATTACAGTGAAGATTGAATCCTCTGGAATCCCTTGCTCCAAAGCAAACTGCCGGAACTCCTCAATCAGACTTTGCCGTACTTCTGGGGTGCGTCCTGTACGCGGAAACAATTGTCAGAGTTAAAACAGAGGACCCCCCGTCTTTCTCCCGTCTGTGAGATGGGCTAGTCGTAAGTACACTGGTTGCTGACCAGCGATTTGCCCTCAATGTACTCACCGTAAAGCTTGACCGTCTTTTTGGTTTCGCTGCTCTTTGTCTTCATTGTGAGCATAATAGCATATTCATCATAGTTGGTAAATACAACGTAATTCTCGAAGTGCCAGCCCTTTGCTGAAAAAAGAATAAAGAAAAAAACAAAACTGACTTTTTTCACCTCAATAAAAAATACAGAACACATTTTGTACTTTGAAGAGACACTGCAGGCACCCAGACCACTTTATTTAATTGAAGTGCTTTGGGTGCAGTGTCCCCAGTCCCCTTTACCCTGCAATCTAAAACATTACAGTTTTATAGAAACATCCATATTAACCCTGAAGTGTTAAGACTGCCTCTAGTGGCTGTGTAGCAACTTACCGAGATCCGCTACACTGTCCAACTTACCGAGATCCACTTCACTATCCAACTTACCGAGATCCACTACATTATCCAACTTACCGAGAACCACTACATTATCCAACTTACTGAGATCCACTTCACTATCTAACTTACCGAGATCCACTTCACTATCCAACTTACTGAGATCCACTTCACTACCCAACTTACCGAGATCCACTTCACTACCCAACTTACCGAGATCCACTACACTATCCAACTTACCGAGATCCACTACATTATCCAACTTACCGAGATCCACTACACTATCCAACTTACCGAGATCCACTACACTATCCAACTTACTGAGATCCACTTCACTATCCAACTTACCGAGATCCACTTCACTACCCAACTTACTGAGATCCACTTCACTATCCAACTTACCGAGATCCACTTCACTACCCAACTTACTGAGATCCACTACACTATCCAATTTACCGAGATCCACTACATTATCCAACTTACCGAGATCCACTTTACTATCCAACTTACCGAGATCCACTTTACTATCCAACTTACCGAGATCCACTACATTATCCAACTTACCGAGATCCACTACACTATCCAATTTACCAAGATCCACTACACTATCCAACTTACCGAGATCCACTGCACTATCCAACTTACCGAGATCCACTACATTATCCAATTTATCGAGATCCACTACATTATCCAACTTACCGAGATCCACTACATTATCCAACTTACCAAGATCCACTACATTATCCAACTTACCGAGATCCATTACACTATCCAACTTACCGAGATCCACTACACTATTCAACTTACCGAGATCCACTACACTGTCCAACTTACCAAGATCCACTACGCTATCCAACTTACCGAGAACCGCTACATTAACCAACTTACCGAGAACCGCTACATTAACCAACTTACCGAGAGACGCTACACTATGCAACTTACCGAGAACCGCTATACTGTCCACCTTACCGAGAGCCACTACATTAACCAACTTACCGAGAGGCGCTACATTAACCAACTTACCGAGATCCGCTGCATTGACCTGTTTACTCACATTTCCTTTCCCTTTGTGAAAATAAAACTGTACCCATCTGTAGTTCCCCTTACCCCCATGTTTTTCAGTAAATGTGTAGTTTGACCCTTTTAATGTGAAATCTGCTCCCAAATCTTCTGAAAATAAAACCCATGTGGCGCTGACTTACATGGAATTTCATAGTTAAATTTGCCCGGTCTGTCCGTCTTCTTATATACGCCAGTATGCTGGGTACATGTGCCGCGTCTGTGAGGGGAAAACAAGGAAAGAGATTTCGGAGTTGTCACAGAGCCGTGTCAATGACATATCTTCAAGTACACAATGTAACAGCTGACATTCATCAGTGACAAGCACACTGATCGCTAGATCACAAACCTTTAAACAGGTGAAATGCTAGACTCTAGTGTTAGGCTGTTTAGATTTTAGGGGCCCTGGTTTTATTAACCAAATACTCACTTGCAATCCTGAACTGACACTGCCTCTTTCGAGCAGCCTGGTCCGCCTCCACTGGGGTAATATGGCTAGATTTCTATTTCGTCCAATTAAATGCTTCTCATTGGGAAGCATTGCAGACGTTGTGAGCATGTGCCGCAGTTGTCTCAATGCCCTAATCAAATGCTTCTATCAGTGACAAACTGAGTCAGACTCTGCTTTCACTGCGAAAGCACCCTCTAGGGGCTACCGGGCAGAATGCCACAAGAACTGTGTTAACAACAATGAAATGCTGTGTCTCCAAAACTGAAATGTTTCAACATTGTGGGGATAACAAGGAAGGCCAGTTACTTAGGTTTGCTGCACATTGGGTTATTCTGGGGTCTCCAGAAGCCTAAATGTCTGTTTGTGGCCATCAAGCTCTGAAGACATTAATTGGACTCTGTCACATTAATTCTAGAATAAATCAACAATTTAAAAAAGGAAAAAAAGTTATACAATGTAACATGTTTGTTTTCCTTCGAGATCTCCACGGAACCAAAAATGGATATTCCATAAATCAGTGCCTGATTGGTACAATATGCTTCGGTGATTTCAAACAGATAAAATATTCTCATTCTTGGACAATTAAAGTTTTCTACCATTTCCGCAGCCGACTCTAGAAATCCACTACTCTAATAAAGCATCATTTCCCTGAGCTCCACATTGGGTGGAAGAAGACCTACAGAGGTCTATAATGAATATCTAGTCCAATATTTACCGCATATGAGTGCTCACGGTCTGGACACCTTCGTCTGTATCTCCCTCGCTCAGTATCAGAGTTCCCATGTAGTATTTATCCTTGTACTTCTGTAACCAAGAGGATGTAGAAGCAATGGCGATATCGTACCATTTTCCATAGATCTAGAAGGGAAAAATAATCAGAAAGGAGCGACTCAAATCCTTTGTTAGCTTAGACTGAAAATTCCAGTCTACGCACATCTTATTACAAAAACACAAAATGTCTGGCACAGTGGAAATAAATAACACCAGTGTATTCACTAAACTGGAAATTGAGGAGACATGATTAAGGAATTGCAAATGTTTTAGGGCAAAGTGGGCGATCAGGAACAAAAAATGGAAAATTTGAAGAATTTCAACCAATTATAAGGGAATTATAGTTTTTTTGGTTGTTTTTTTTTTTAAAACCAAACAATGTTGAAGAAAATGAATGGGAATTCTATGCAGAAAGTGCCGGAGAATATCTGAATTACAATATTACATTTAAAGATAATTGTAAAACCTATCACGAATTAGTGGAGAAATGACATCTAGATATAAAAATTAATGTGTCTCGATAATGAAACCTTTCCCTGCTGGGTTTTGGAGGTCTGACTGCTCCGTTTATATGACAGAAATCGTCCTGTTATTCCCCACTTGGATTAACGGTGAGGTTTATTAACTATGCAAATCAAATCATTATTAATTGAAACTAATTCAAAGACAAATTTGAAAATTTAGGCTAAAATAGTCAAACTGTAAGTATAGCCTCCGCACGTAATGCCAAAATGTAAAAATTCTGTTTAAACTGCCCGTTTAACACTTACAAACCTACCTACCTACCACAGAACAGGCAAAAAATATATAGCTGGTGGGTGACCCGGTTATTCATTTAACCAAATAGTGGCCTCAATTTAATATTGTTGGGTAAGATTTCCTAATAATTTAATATTAAATATATTAGAACCAAAAAAAAAAAACTGTCAATTTATAAATGTATGCACAACAAAATTCATATATTTTTCATACAATTAAATCATTTCTTTTTCACCTTATTGATCTTGTCCCTAAATTGTTCAAATTAACAAATCAACACAAGTTCTGTTACTTAGCCGTCTTACTCATGTTGTGCAAAAATCAGGATTTTTAGCTTTTAATGGCAAGTTTTTAAATTCACAAACTGCGTGTGAAATATTTCTTGAGATTAAACCAATTATCAAATATCAAGCATGTTATTATTTAATCCGGTAATAAAGAACAGACCTCTCATTCTTAAAACATGTTATCTGCGTCCTGACTTTATAAACTGCCTCTTTAAAATCTATTTTCCTTGTGGGGAATAATTGTGTATTTCAGGCATAATAAAATCTCTGCTTGAATACACTTTTGGATTAATTCTGCCTGTTATGCGGTTAATTAAATATCAAATGCTTGTTTGAGTCAAAATCTTGTGGATTAGTGCTCGACCAAGTGGGTAGAGATTAAAAAAATTAGTTGATCTGTATTTTCTGCTTCCAATAAATATCTTGTATTTAAAATGTTCAGAACTAGACACAAGAAAATGCAAATATCACATGGAAACTTGAAATTCGGAGTGGGTTATTCTCTAAAAGAGACTTTGCTGAGGGAACTGCAGATTTTAAATCAAAATAGCTCAATTGGGAAAAATCTCCAACTCCTAAAATGTGTAATATTTTTGGCAATAACCATAACATTTCCTTTCTTAGTGACTATATCTCTGTGTGACCCCATCACACTAACTGGATAGTCCAGGGATAGGCAAACGTCGGCACTCCAGATTTTGTGGATTGCATCTCCCATAATGCTTCTTTGGTCTAAAAATCTTAAATTCACTTAAAATTCAATTTAAATTCTAACAATTCACATTTAAGTGTGTCAGCATCCCTAACAAGTCATAGGATGTGCATCTGTTTTTCAAACCAGGTCTCATGCTTCCTTTAAAGTATGCAGCGCCGCAGGATATGTTGGTGCCATAAAGAAAAAAATTATAATTTAACACTTTACCTTTTGGAGCTCAAAATTCTCTTTGACGGGGATTGTTTCTTCGGGTTGGACAGGGTTACAAGCCCCGAGTCCCAGCAGAGCAGAGAGAAGGATAATTGCCCACTGCATAGTGTCCCTCTGTGTGTGTCGCTGTGATAAACCGTTCTTGTCACTCTGCCCGATGATCTCTGGAAATGGATAAATGTGTGAACTCAGAGGGGAGACCAGAGTGGGAGTTGGGTTAATGTTTTACTCTGTAACTTTAACCGTATCCCGGGGGGGGGGGACACAATGTATTGATCAATCTAACCTCACGGTAAACAGGGGCACAGAAATCTGCAGTTATTCACTAAACTCAGAATTTCTGTGAATTAAATACCTATAGAAAAACTGAGGCAAAAATAGCTGATCTTCAAAAATTACTGTTATACATCTGTACCGTATGGAGCTGGAGCCGGCTCCTGGTCTGTACCAAATACCCGCATAGTGACACCTATTACCAGTGAATACACACAATGGTGGCCGTCGTGGGTCAGAACATGTAGTTATATGGGTATGGCATGCCTTGGGCCGGCTCCTGGTCTGTACCAAATACCCGCATGATGACACATATTACCAGTGAATACACACAATGGTGGCCGTCGTGGGTATGGCATGGCTGGTGCTGGCTCCTGATCTGTACCAAATACCCACATAGTGACATCTATTACCAGTGAATACACACAATGGTGGCCGTCGTGGATCAGAACATGTAGTTATATGGGTATGGCATGGCTGGAGCCGGCTCCTGGTCTGTACCAAATACCCGCATAATGACACATATTACCAGTGAATACACACAATGGTGGCCGTCGTGGGTCAGAACATGTGGTTATATGGGTATGGCATGTCTGGAGCCAGCTCCTGGTCTGTACCAAATACCCGCATAGTGACATCTATTACCAGTGAATACACACAATGGTGGCCGTCGTGGATCAGAACATGTAGTTATATGGGTATGGCATGTCTGGAGCCGGCTCCTGGTCTGTACCAAATACCCGCATAGTGACACCTATTACCAGTGAATACACACAATGGTGGCCGTCGTGGGTCAGAACATGTAGTTATATGGGTATGGCATGCCTTGGGCCGGCTCCTGGTCTGTACCAAATACCCGCATGATGACACATATTACCAGTGAATACACACAATGGTGGCCGTCGTGGGTATGGCATGGCTGGTGCTGGCTCCTGATCTGTACCAAATACCCACATAGTGACATCTATTACCAGTGAATACACACAATGGTGGCCGTCGTGGATCAGAACATGTAGTTATATGGGTATGGCATGGCTGGAGCCGGCTCCTGGTCTGTACCAAATACCCGCATAATGACACATATTACCAGTGAATACACACAATGGTGGCCGTCGTGGGTCAGAACATGTGGTTATATGGGTATGGCATGTCTGGAGCCAGCTCCTGGTCTGTACCAAATACCCGCATAGTGACATCTATTACCAGTGAATACACACAATGGTGGCCGTCGTGGATCAGAACATGTAGTTATATGGGTATGGCATGTCTGGAGCCGGCTCCTGGTCTGTACCAAATACCCGCATAGTGACACCTATTACCAGTGAATACACACAATGGTGGCCGTCGTGGGTCAGAACATGTAGTTATATGGGTATGGCATGCCTTGGGCCGGCTCCTGGTCTGTACCAAATACCCGCATGATGACACATATTACCAGTGAATACACACAATGGTGGCCGTCGTGGGTATGGCATGGCTGGAGCTGGCTCCTGATCTGTACCAAATACCCGCATAATGACACATATTACCAGTGAATACACACAATGGTGGCCGTCGTGGATCAGAACATGTAGTTATATGGGTATGGCATGTCTGGAGCCGGCTCTTGGTCTGTACCAAATACCCGCATAGTGACACCTATTACCAGTGAATACACACAATGGTGGCCGTCGTGGGTCAGAACATGTAGTTATATGGGTATGGCATGCCTGGGGCCGGCTCCTGGTCTGTACCAAATACCCGCATGATGACACATATTACCAGTGAATACACACAATGGTGGCCGTCGTGGGTATGGCATGGCTGGAGCTGGCTCCTGATCTGTACCAAATACCCGCATAATGACACATATTACCAGTGAATACACACAATGGTGGCCGTCGTGGGTCAGAACATGTGGTTATATGGGTATGGCATGTCTGGAGCCAGCTCCTGGTCTGTACCAAATACCCGCATAGTGACACCTATTACCAGTGAATACACACAGTGGTGGCCATCGTGGGTCAGAACACGTAGATACATGGCATGTCTGGAGCCGGCTCCTGGTCTGTACCAAATACCCGCATAGTGACATCTATTACCAGTGAATACACACAATGGGGGCCGTCGTGGGTCAGAACACGTAGATACATGGCATGTCTGGAGCCGGCTCCTGGTCTGTATCAAATACCCGCATAGTGACACCTATTACCAGTGAATACACACAATGGGGGCCGTCGTGGGTCAGAACACGTAGATACATGGCATGTCTGGATAGAGGTTCTGCAGTCTCTATCGCTCCACAGCTCTTCATTGGCGAGTGACGGAACTAGTAATGGCAGGCGTATTTTGGGATTTCTTTTTTCCTTTTTTGTACATTGATGGTTATATGAAGAAATCTTATTAAAACATTTTCCTGGCAGCATTCGCATAAACAGAGTAACACTTTCTATATATAATCTTTTTGTTTTTGCACTGGCCTATTTCTCAAAAAACAAATTCTGGATGTTTGATGTTCTGATGATGTCCTTGATGCGTCTTTGTGTGACTCGGTTGGATGTACATGGCCATACTTTGTAGAATTCCTTTTATTTTTAGAACTGTTTGATACCTTTTTCATTTCGCTCTTTGTAAAGCTTACCGTGCGATACACCACGCAACATCTTTAAAAGCAGGTCTTGTGCTTTGAATCCCTTTAAATATTTACCTGTTTGTATGACGCCTGCAATGCTTTCCCGCTCTGTTTAGTTTGTTTTTAGCTTATTTTCTAAACTACACAAAAATAACCCACCGAGATCCCTTTGCTACTAATTCCATTTTGGATCTATAATGGATTTTGTTGAACTCAATCCCCCCCCCCCCACCCCGTCCCATTATCAGGTACGCTGTCACTATTTGCATTCACAGAATTATCAGCTAATGTATACAAGGAAAGATTTCAAAGTCCCAGCTATCTCTTCTTATCTGTGACCAGAGCTCACTACTTTCTAAATAGAATTTAAAGGACAAACTAGATGACTAGTAATGGGGGCACAAATCTTGGTAAATTCAGGGGGGTCGCTGTACATCCATAATCTTAAAGGAGATCTGTCCCATATCTGCCAATTACACCATTAATTAAAACGTTAACGGAACACTGCGAGCACCATAACCACTGCAGTTCGCTAAGCCCTGCTCATTAGTTGAGAGTGACAAGCTGACGCAGCGAGATGAAGTGGTTACAATACTTGGAGTGTTCCTTTAAAAATCACCTGTAACTCATGATAACTTTTTTAGCAAAGGGCGCCACCATCCAGCTCAGAATGTGGAGGAGAAGTAGAAACATGGGGGGGAATTTATTAATGTGTTCTGATCTAAAAAGTCCTGCAAAAATATGAAAGGGAAGGAGCCATCAAATAAACGGGCCTGTTGGTTCCACGTGTTTACATGGAGATAGGCCCACTTTTACTAATTTAGGCCACATTTTACAAAAGATCACTTTGATAAATCTCCACCTTTGTTCCATTTCTCCTCCTCGCCGTAGGCCGACTTCCAGCTGCAGAGGCTGGAGCTTAATGTAATAGATGACGAATGGCTAAGATGGAGGCGCCCAGTTGCAGAATAAAGAAAAATAGATTTTTTTTTTACCCTAATTGTATTTTTTATACTTCACAAATATATATTTATTAAATATATAAAATTTCCTGGGAAGTGAGAAATTCCCTTTAAATCTGCAGTTAAACAGCCATGATCTCTATAGATAGAGCGATAAAGAGAGATTGCCCACGAGTTGTCTGTCTGATATCGTTACGATTTTACGACATAACTGAATTTATAATGACTGCATCGCCACGTGCTGGATTAATAAAACAAAAATAAAGGATTTGCGTTTCTGGTGGGGGTTTATTTTGCTTATAATTTCCAAGGAAGGCAACAGAGATAAAACAGGAAACATGAAAGGCTGGAAGTGGGTGCCACGGGGCGAGGGGTGTCTCCTGGCTCGACCTTTCCTGCAAAACACAAACAGTCATGTTAGCAGCAGGTCAGAGGCGTTTGGAAGGCAGTGCAATCACCCATCCTTTGGCCTTGCTGCGCTAATATTTGTACAATGAGTTTGACAAACCAGTCAGCAATCAATATTCTGCCGTCTATTCCACAAAGCACAGCGCCGGCATTAATTCTATAGATCACGGAGTGCAGCTCCCATCAATCTCTAGCAAAAAGAACATTTACGTTGCAGTGCTGCCCTAGGAGATTACAATAACCTCCCTAAGTGAGAGAGCATGTCTCAAACAATTAAACTACATTTGTAACTGTTGCTAATGATTTTACTTTACGTTAACAATAATTTAAACCAGGAGAAATGTAGCTTTATTGTGACTACAATATATTAAAAACACAAACATGACCGATCCTCAGTTGGGAACTTAATAACACCAGGTCTTCTGTAATGCTTCCTTCGTGGAGCTTCCTGTAACAATCAGAGAAGGATTAAGATCCCACGGGCCCCTGGTTCGGTTACTGGTTTGGGGCCCTCCCTTTTATTCTTCACATAGGAATGATACATGGGGCCACGCAAATTCATGGTTCCTTGTTTACATGATGATTGTTGTAGGGTAAGTATGGCTGCATGGACGCCCCAGGAAGCAGCGACTGCAAATCCCTCCAAATCAGCTGTGTAATGCACATTGGTACGAGTTTATATGTGAACCAGGAAGTGTAATCCCAGCTCTCTGACTGACAGGGCTTGTAGGTGGAGCTTTGAGCTCTACTTTTAAGCCCTATTTTTTTCACTCTGACAATTTAGCTTAAACAAAGATGTATGGACAGTACCCTGGTAGCATACTACTTCAATAAGCTGACGTGATCATGGTGTCTAGATTGTGCCTTTAACAGTAGCCTCTGCTGTGAATTAAGTCTGCATTTTTTAGTGCATAACAAGTTGTCATGGGAGCAGTGTATGTGAATAGCATTCAGTATGACAGAGACCTTATCAGATTTGTCCAGCTGTTTATTTAAATGTATTACTGAACATGTAGATTGTTCAGGCTGGTAAAAGCATAATGGGAGTTGTGGTTATACTAAAAAAAGAAATATTACATTTTATTTTAACATCCCGTGTAATATCCTGGACATATTGGTGCATAATATACATGTGGAATTTATTTACCATTGTTTGGAGAATCCTTAATAATTTATAAATTAATGACTCACCTAGAATGTACCCGGAACACATTCCTCTGAAAAAGTAAATAACAGGTGGATTAAATGACTGTTATAACAGGATAACTGTGCTGTAACAAGCAATATGCAAAATCAGGACTGTCCCACCAAGTTCGGGACAAGTAGGAGGTATGCTCGATTCTCACCCATTCCCATATCATCTCCAAAGCTTGCCATGTGCAGTCCTGTAAATGCTTATTGTTTTATAGGTTTTAGTTACCTGCATCAGGGAAATAAATCAAATGGTGTTTGTTCAAACCAAAGCCAAAGACAAATTTTTCAAATTGATCCCGTACGTCTTTAGGCAAGCTCTTCTCTCTCCCTAAATGGAACGGAACACAAACATTTTGCATCAGGCAGAAGGAATACTGTATCAGCCGTGAAATTCACTAAACCAAAAATGTACTAAAACAAACAACACGTTTTACACCAAAGTAACCAAAATGGCCCTTCCCTCCCCCCCCCACACCCCCATTTTTCAAACTCTCAATTTTCCGAGTCCAGTCCCCGTCTAAGGATGTATGGTGTATCTCTAGATCCAGCGATGAATGGTCTGATGGAACGTTCGCTTCGACCGGACTAGAGAGACTCTAGTTTAAGTTGTTTGTTCTGCCTCGTCCATTCAACTCATAGTGCTAGAAACCTACTACTTCCATACTATCTATGTATTGACCGCATACACATCATGTACAATATTCACAAGAGGTAAAATAACCATTGACTCATCTGTGTATGACTAAACCATCGTTATCCTGGATAGACTGATGGCTGGGGCTTTAATCCCTAACACATTGACTCCCAGTAAGTGCTCGGCCATTTGCAAAAGTCAGCAGCACCTGCTATATATATATAAACTGCTTTACCGTATAACTTGATCATGATTATTTTCTGTCCATTCTTTGGGACGGTAGCGGCAAACTCCAAAGCAAATGACGTGTAGTCCGTCCCAACAAAAGTAACAGCTGTATTTCCCCGAGGATCTACAATATAAAATCCCAAAAATCAAACTTCAGCATTTATCTGGATTCATATATACAATGTGTATCAGTTAGCTTTGAATACATTGAAAAATGTATCCCAAGAAAGCAGAATTAGAGGAAACACAATCACAAACTGAACTAAATTTGAGATTTGATTTCTAAAATGTAGAATATTTTTCATTCATTTTGCTGGAATACAATTCACAAAAAATGTGGCAGAGAATTCTGGGAGTTGCAGTTCTGTAACACCCAGAAGCATGAGTATGGCTTATAGATAGGCAATCTTTTAACGACACTGTGCCAAAGCAAGACTTTGTCGTTTGTTGTATTTTGTGTGTTATATGTGTATCTTAGTTTGTGTGTGAATGTGGGCTGCTTGTGTGTGTTATGTGTATGGACTGTTTATCTTGTTTTGTGTGTGAATGTGGGATGCTTGTGTTTGTTATGTGTACGGACTGTGTATCTTGTTTTGTGTGTGAATGTGGGCTGCTTGTGTGTGTTATGTGTACGGACTGTGTGTCTTGGTTTGTGTGTGAATGTGGGCTGCTTGTGTTAGCTTGTGTGTGTTATGTGTACGGACTGTGTATTTTGGTTTGTGTGTGGATGTGGGCTGCTTGTGTGAGCTTGTGTGTGTTATGTGTATGGACTGTGTGTCTTGGTTTGTGTGTGAATGTGGGCTGCTTGTGTGAGTTATGTGTACGGACTGTGTATCTTGGTTTGTGTGTGAATGTGGGCTGCTTGTGTTAGCTTGTGTGTGTTATGTGTACGGACTGTGTATCTTGTTTTGTGTGTGAATGTGGGCTGCTTGTGTGAACTTGTGTGAGTTATGTGTACGGACTGTGTATCTTGGTTTGTGTATGAATGAGGGCTGCTTGTGTGAACTTGTGTGAGTTTTGTGAACGGACTGTGTGTCTTGGTTTGTGTGTGAATGTGGGCTGCTTGTGTGTGTTATGTGTACGGACTGTGTATCTTGGTTTGTGTATGAATGTGGGCTACTTGTGTGTTATGTGTACGGACTGTGTATCTTGGTTTGTGTGTGAATGTGGGCTGCTTGTGTGTGTTATGTGTACGGACTGCGTATCTTTGTGAGCTTGTGTGTGTTATGTGTACGGACTGTGTGTCTTGGTTTGTGTGTGAATGTGGGCTGGTTGTGTGATCTTGTGTGTGTTATGTGTACGGACTGTGTATCTTGTTTTGTGTATGAATGTGGGCTGCTTGTGTGTGTTTTGTGTATGGACTGTTTATCTTGCACAGCGCTCCTGCATGGCCATAGTGCCTGCTGCACAATGCGAGTGCATCTAATCATGCTAGTGTGCTGCCCGGGGCAGATCCCTGGTGTCTCCAGATGCCGGACACCAAGTAACTAAAGCACGAAGGCAGGACGGACACCAACATCAGGACTTTTTCACCTAAAGAGGCCTGATCATAGCATACACACATAGCCACAGATAGACACCCCAATACACACTGCCATTTATACTGCCCCAGTACAAACTGCCAGACACCCTTCCAACTGTCAGGGCACACACAATTACATTGCTAAACACACATACATCTACACACACTACTATATCCACACATTAACAAAGCTGGTAGATTGCCTGGTGTCCAGTAAGAGCCGGGCTGACCAGGTAAAGGACAAGGGCAGTAGTTCCTCCTCATTCACTAGTGATTCACTGCACTCTGCAATCAGGCACAGATATCTGCATAAGTCCTGCTCAGACCCCGGTCAGGTCATCTCCGAGGGAGATCCTCAGATCTACCATCCTGATTGGGTCTGGAAGTCTTTCGTGCCATGCATGACACACGTGCCATAGTTTGCCAACTGCTTATTATATAGTTAAACTCTGTGCCAAGGTACAGCATATACAGTTGTCTCCAAAAGCCAGAGAAGGCTTTATGCTTACCTGTGTATGTGTAATGGCCTTCGGAAACAAATTTATAGCTGAAAGACATTCCTTGGCATCCTTTGGGCCTGTAGATCATAGAGACAATGCAAAGAGGTCACGGTGTTAGCTGGAATTTCTGTATTTAAATAGTTGCTTAGTATCCAATATTTCAGGGTTCCACCCAAATATGTTTAACCCAAATGTATCTGTTCCTCACCCATTTCAGCTGTGAGCTAATTACAAAGGATGTATTCCACTAAATGCTGAATTGGAGTGAACTCAAAACCAAAATTTTGCCAATTTAAAAACATTTTCCAACTCCACTACAGTCACAACTTGGCCATTTTAGTGTAGATTTAGCAAATTGCATTTACTCCACTACAATTCTGTATGTAGTAAATAAGCCCCATTAGCTCCTCTCTGCTTCCTAATCTAAAATGGGCTACGTTGTTTCCAAACTGACCTTTTTGTTAATTAATAAAACACTATTAATATCTTTGGACGAAAATATATTCTAGTAAATAATTCTTAATATATTTTCAGAATAACAGTGTAAGTCCCAGAGTGGTTACGGGAAGGAAATCATGATTAAAGACACACAGTAAAGTTTATGCACTATATGGAAATTTGGGAAGAATAGACAAGGAAATCACAAGTGTTTACGGAGACATTTTACATTTTAGCATTATTGATGTAAAAGTGAAAAATTTCTGATTGATTCCCAACTTTTCACAGTTAAGTTATCAAAATAGCAAAATTGGAAAGACAGCTGCTATAGAAAATGTTTTCATTGCCTTTAAGAATGTTCTCTACAATTTTCAGACTCTCTCTATAATTTACAGCACTGTAGAAAAGATCTTGCTGCTGTGGTCAGATTCTCTACAAAGTTACATTTTATATTGGGTACTGCAATGGGGCCCAGTTGCCATCATTAAATTAATTCTTACGTCATATATGCGATGCTGCACTTTAAGCTATTGTCTGGTTCATTCTGGAATAAAATAATTGGACGTGTCATGGAGTCTTTCATTTTCAGGAATTCTGTGCAGTTGGACGCTGCTGCGACGCTGTACCATTTCCCAGTAATCTGCAAAATATACAAATGTGTCATTACCTCGACTGGTAAGCTCCTTTCTTAGGGATAGACTCTAATGTTGCAGGATTGTGTGTTGACATAATTCTTATACAAGTTTTATTCTCTATTATAAAAATTATTAGAGGCAGATTAGATGGGCCTATTGGTTCTTATCTGAAGTCACATTCTATGTTTCTATATCTCTGTGGAATTTTCTGTAAGGTATCGGGTATACGATTTTTAAAAAAAATTTAAACCACCTTTGCTGGCATTAAATAGATGTTTGTTAATGTTTTCCATTCACACACCCATTTTGTTTTCAAGACTCGGTCTGTTCCATGAAGATTTGGGGTTTAGTCAAGCTGTTTTATTTTTAAAATATGATATGCAGGCAGTATATTATATACATAAATATTTCTATTTGGCTGTCTTTGTGTTGTAAGATTAGTATAGACAGACTGTGTTGTTAAAGCTTCATTAACCGTCATTGGCACAAATTTGATGCATAATGATGTCTCACCGCTAGAGGGCGCTCCAGTTTGCAGCTGTGACTTAAGGTATTGTTCTATTCCTATACTGAGTTTAACCCCTTAAGGACCAAGCCTCTGGAATAAAAGGGAATTATGACATGTCACACGTCATGTGTCCTTAAGGGGTTAATACTAACGGGCTTAACATTTATTGTACTCGAGATATGTTGCATTCATTTCCGCACTGCACATAGTCAGAGAAATGCCCTTTCACTTTACGGGGTGTGTTTGGAGGTGTGGACAGGGATGGGGTTATTCCAGGAGATTTAAAGGAACACTCCAGGCACCATAACAACTTTAAAATGACAACATCAAAATGTTAAGGTTCCAGAGAGTCCCTGGCGCTGGCTCACCTTTAGTGGTTAAACCAGTCTAGAATGACCCTTTGCCCTTCCAATTACTGAAAATGGACAGGTAGAGGTATCTCTAATGCTGATCAGATTACTATATCAATATCGATATAAGTTCAAAAAGTATCTTATTTCCACAGACTGATATGCTGCACTTTAAAAGTACACGGTAGCGATAGGAATACTAACGTGTATTTTTAACGTCATTGTGTTCTAGTAAATACTTAGACTCCCCCTCTGCCCCCACATGTGCATTGAAGAAAAAAAAAGTGTTCTCGTTTTCTTATCTTACCTGCTCTGACACGCTGGTCTCTGTGCATCGCCCCCGCCCCCCCCAGCTGAGTTTATCAATCGTGATGATCCCAACCAATCCATAGCTTCCCCATAGCATTGCATTGGAAGGCTAGTGTGCAAATAACAGCGCTGCCCTAATTAGCATCTTCTCATAGAAATGTATAGAGTTAGTGGAGACGCTGAACGTCAGTCCGGAAAGCTCTGCAGGAACGGTCTCAGGACGTCCCTCTAGTGGCTGTCCCTCAGACAGCTAATAGAGAAGGCATCAGGCAGCGATGGAAACACTGCAGGGACAGGCTATATGTTTTAGAACCACTGTATTAAGCTGGGGGTATCCTGGTGCCTATATGGCCACTACATAGATATATTACTGGAAGTTTTATTGCTGTGAAGCTCTGTTATACTCTGAGGTTATCGGGATTATACAGTGTGATGGAAGAGTAGGGACGTGGAATGGCACATAATCAATACAAAGTATGGTAGCATTGGGGGATTGGGAGAAGGAGAGATTTACAAGTGGGAGCTTGTATGGCTATGGACAGATGTGTGGTAAGAGAGGGGGCAGAGAGGAGGTTAGAATGAACTCAGAAATGACATTAAATGGAGACGGGGTAATGGCATGGAGGGGACACTAAACTGAGAGGCAGGAGGGAAATGAGGAAACACATATGGAGAGGAGTGGGAGTATGATTGGAGGGAGCGGGCATAGAACAACCAGGGGGGAAGGACGACAAGACAATGAAATGGCGAACAAGAAAGAGTTTGGGCTTTTTGCGTTGTTATGCAATTCTTCAATCTGGCTGGAAAACGCTCACCATCCTGGCCGAGAGATTTCTCAGGGATTCGAGAACTTGGATGTCGAAGAGCAAGTTAAGTTATTGGTGGGCGTTTTCAGAGTTTGGCTATCAGATCAGGGGATGTCGTACTCCCCGTCCTAGCTGTCCAGTGTCTGGGTTTAGGCTAAATCACCATCTGAAATTTATTGATGGAATCCTAAATACAATAAAATGTGTAAAAAGACCTTACCTTATCAGGCTTAAAGTCCTTCTGGGCAGGGATATCAGCCCGGACCTGGAGGCAAAGGAACAGGACGAGTCCAGTGATCTGGAACAGAATGGCCATTGTGCTGCGAGTCTAAGTCTGAACCTGCAATGAGTCTGGTAGTGTCCTCGACAAGTATTTATACCACGACCTGGGCATGAAAATGGGATTATATAACTGTTACCACGGCCTAATGAAGAAATGATTAAGATAAAGGTAAGCTGATAGGACCAAACAAAGATATCATTAAGGTGACCTGGACGTATAATCAGTAAACTGGATTCGCAGCCAAGACACTTCAGTTAGCCCGTCCCCGTGCCAGAATGTAGACAGAGCGGGGAAATGTGAAACGGGGTCCCACTGATCCACAAGACCTTGTGCTAACTCTTGCAATGTTGCATTAACTAGCTGTTATTCTCTGTAATTCACACTAACTCAATCTAACTTGCAGTTATTGTAACTCAAACTATTTTGGCCTAAAATGTTAGATTCTTCTGCTGTTTGACAGTTTATAACCCAGTAGGATGAGGCACAGGTACCTGTCGGTGGCACTGCTGCCCCCCTGTTGCCCACGTCTTCCCCGCAGCTCGCTCTTCCCCCTACAATCCTCCCCTGGCAGCTAGGTGGAGTAACATCAGCAGTGGAGGATCTGGGTCTCTAAGCTGGAACAGAGGTGATCTGGGTCTCTAACCTGGAACAGTGAGTTTATGGGTGTGACACACATCTCGGTCACCTAGGACTTGTATATAGTTCCAATCCACCACCTCCCTCTAAAAGAACTATAACTGCCCACGTTTTCCCCCTCTAGTGTGTGCCTCCATGCCCAGCACCCCTTTCCAGTGGCCCAGAAAACCTCACAGGCCAGAGAGGAACCCACAGACACACAGTGCATCTGACGGGGAGCAACCAATAAACGCTCCGGAACTCCTAATCAGATTGCGGCATTGCCACAATCCGGTAAAACTTTGTCAAAGGCGCTTTTGGTCCCAGAGTCACCGAACAGGGTGCTTTTTGGAGGGGTGATAGAGGAAGTGGTCAGGCATCAAACAACTTTAGGGAGCTTCATGTACAAACAGAAAGTTTGCCCACTCAACATTGTGGAACTCTGTGCTGGATCGGAAGATGCTCGTGGCCCAGTCAAAACGTACCATCCACACCATTCAGGCTGGACACTTCCGATTCAAGCATAGGCAATGTCATTGGACAGCATAGGCGCTTGGTAGAGAGTAATCTGGCACTGGTTTATGGATATGGACAAAACTATTTCATTCAGCGTCAAATTGTCTGGCTGCTAATAAAATTATCTGGTCAGGTACCAACACCTAGGTGCCAGGTATATCGCAAGACCAGTTGTTTCCCTGGGGACCCACTGTTGGGAACACAGTTATAAAATAAGAGACTTTCAGGTAATAAAGGAATTCTAATTGCACCCTGACATTAAGCCTTGGCTAATGATTGGGGATGGGAAATAATCACTCTCAGAACTAATCACTAAGGGCGACCTTGGCTTCCAAGTTACTTGCAGATAGACCACCACAACGGGGTTATTTGTTTATTTATTGAACTGTGATAGTGAGACCAGGATAGGATGGTTACTCTAACCAAAACCAGCGTTTTCTTAAACCACTGTTTTCTGGTTGGAATAAAGCAAAGTTTGTCATTTGCTTCCAGTTCTTCGGTTAGTGACGTCTTGGGGAATAAATCGCTAGGATATGATTTCTGGTTATTTTTTCTGGAGACAGAATTTATTAATTACATTAATTGAAGATCATATACTTTGCTTTATATTTAATGTATTTCTCTGTTCTCTAGATCCGTCAATTCATGCATTCATTGTCTAATAATATAACTATATAATAACATATATTTACAGTAAATAAATCCTAGAATTAAGTGGTATACAGCGGATCTATCCAATTTACCCTCCTGGGATACTTTACATCCTTTTTAAGGATTAGGCCCTCTGTATATCATGCTGTGACACAGCTCACTGTTTGTATACACACTGCGTTTAGTTCATTGTTTGATATTCAAAGTCGAAATTATCTTGAAAATGAACTTTTATCTTTAAACTGAAGAACATTCTATGTTTGCTGCATATACAGAACCAAAACAGGTGCTAAACAGTAATTATATTTCTTTTTTTTTTAAATTTATTTTCAACCGATATACGGCTCGATTTAATAATCTTTTTAAATGATTCAATACCACAAGGAAAACTTTTCAAAATATATGCCAGTGGGAGGGAGGTAAATGAGTCGGACCAGTGATGCTTTCAAAAAAGCGGACACGCCCAGAAAGGGGGCGTGTCTGCCTGAGTTAATGCTGTCCATCATGCAGGCCGGCCCCCGAGGGGATATTTGTAAATCTCGTGACAGTTACAGTTACTCAGTACTTGAATGTCCATTAAATCTCAGATTTGTTCTCTTTGTTATACCCAGACCCTGAAGTAGTTGTACAGCTCACATATAATTAGTAGTAGAGTGTGTGTGTATATCAGGCCCGGACTGGCCATCGGGCATACAGGGCAAATGCCCGGTGGGCCGGGATGGCCGTGGGGCCGAGGCCGGCAGTGCTATCCGAGCGCCGGCCCTGCTGTGTGCCTCCATGGGCCGGTGGGGAGATCAAAGATCTCCCTCACCAGCCCACAGGCAGGGAGATGCGGCCGCTGGCTGGGTGAGGGAGGGAGGGAGGACCCGGCGGAGCTCTAACAAGCAGCTCCGCCGGGTCCTCTCGCGAGATTCTGAGCGTTGCCGCGGCAATGCTCAGATCTCGCGAGAGTGAACTCTAACCTACAGGTTAGAGTTCACTCTCACCACTGGACCACCAGGGAAGGCAGCATGGCTCCCCCTCCCAGGCAGAACGGCTCCCCTCCTCCCTCCCCCCCTCCCAGGCTAAAGGTAAGAAGGGAGGGGGGGAGACATAACTTTAAAAAAAAATTATTAATAAAAAAAAAATATATATATATAAAATTAATTCCCAAACAGCACCCCCAGACACACACAGCCCCCTCACACACAGCACCCCCAGACACACACACACAGCACCCCCAGACACACACACACAGCACCCCAGACACACACACACTGCACCCCAGACACACACTGCACCCCAGACACACACACAGCACCTCAGATACACACAGCACCCAAACACACACAGCACCCCCAGACACACACAGCAGATACACACTCAGATACACACAGCACCCAAACACACACAGCACCCCCAGACACACACACAGCACCTCAGATACACACAGCACCCAAACACACACAGCACCCCCAGACACACACACAGCACCTCAGATACACACAGCACCCCCAGACACACACACAGCAACCCCAAACACACACACAGCACCCCCAGACACACACAGCACCCTCAGATACACACAGCACCCAGACACACACGCAGCACCCAGACACACACAGCACCCTCAGGCACACAGCACCCTCAGGCACACACACACAGCACCCTCAGACACACACAGCACCCCAGATACACACACAGCAACTCCCCCCAGACACACACACAGCGACCCTGCACACACACAGCACCAAAACACAATACTGTGCACCCCAGCACACACAGCACCCCTGGTGAGACACAGCACCTAGACACCACACACACAGCACCCCAGATACACACACAGCACCCCCAGACACACACACAGCACACCCAGAGACACATATACATATATATATATATATATATATATATTATATATATTATATAAAATAACCCTCAGTGAGTTAACAGACAAAGAAAATTAGAAACCTAGAATGTGACGGCAGATAAAAACACCCTAACACACAGCACCCCTCTTACACAAACACACTGTGCCCCTCACACATACAATACGTCCAAATATATTATATATACACACACACTACAGCACCCCTCACACTGCACCACTACACACATTACGCTCCAGATACACGCTAGATCCCTTAATCCTCTTCACACACACACACACACAATCTTCTATACACACTCTGGGTCCTTTACACACTAGATCTCTTACACACACACAGTGCACCACTACACACACACTACATTCCTTGTAAGCAAACACATACAACACACTACGTCACCTATACACACACACTACTGCCCATATGCACACACTCGCTACATCCCCTATAACACTATGCCCTTATACACGCACTCTCTACAGCCCCTAGCCACACATATTACACCACAAAATCGACCTATTTACACAATACCACACCACACTCTACACACAGGCAATCCCACAAGCATGCGCCAAACACATGCACCATACACTTTCCTGGCTCTTTTGTCCTCTGGTATCCCACTTGTGGAGACACCAGAGACAATTTAAAAGCAAACACAGCGCATGCATGTTATTACATTTGCTTGCGCTGGGCAGAACAAATACAGGGCCTTTTTCTAATGCCAGAGCTCTTCAGCAGGGCTCTGCGCATTGAACCAACATGCTCACTTTGAGAGGGGGCGTGTTGTCATTAGTGATGACAAAACACACCCTCTCTGGCCCCGCCCCCTTCTTGGGGGGCCGCTCTAATTGAAAAATGCCCGGGCCTAATTTTTTTCCCAGTCCGGCCCTGGTGTATATATATATAGTAGATAGTGTGTGTATATATTTGTAGTAGAGAGTGTGTGTATATATTTGTAGTAGTGTGTGTGTATAAGTGTGTATATATATTTTGATATATTAATATTATATAATATTAATATATCAAAATATATTAATATATTATATATTATATTAATCTTGAAGGGATTAGCCATATTTAAGATGATTAGGTATAGAGCGTGTGACGGTAGTAGTCAGTATCACCGTCTAGTTTTCCTTTTCCCAATAGCAGAATAATTCCAATAATCCACAAGAAGAAATATCGCTGTAATCGCCAAATAATCCACACATGAGCCAAAGCTTAATGCTGGAACAAGACTTATTTTACTGGCACACAGGGCACACAATTTATGCAACAAAAAACTCCTCCTCTGGGCCAGGCTAGATAATTGGGTTTGAGCAACGTGCTAACTCAATTATCTGCTGGCCAGAAGATTTACAGTTTTTACAATTTTTTAAAACAATACGTTCCACATCACATATTATTTACATCCCTGGGT